GTGTCGGCTTCGAGATGCTCTAGCACGGGTTGGGTGAGGGTGGGGGGAAGAGGGGGTAGAGGACGGCATTTACAGAAAGAGAATAGTAAGACAGTATAGAAAGAGGACAGAGAAAAATAAAGAAGTGATATATACATAGAATTAATATGAGCGAGATTCCTACTATGTAGGGGTGGGAAGAGGTAGATGGGGGGCCTGATGGCCATTAATTAATCACTCTACCTGTTTGGTTTCAATTGACAGCTATGACGTCAAAATATGGCGCCCAGTCGATCCTATTCTTAGTTGAATCGCATTATATAAGAAGGGATTTAAAGTTCGCTCACCTGATACCGGGGCGGTCGTCTACGATCGTGTTGTCGTCAGCGAGCCACGCGAGCGCGGGTGCTGGGTCCCCCGCGGCAGCGCAGTGCAGCCTCGCGCCCCGACCCGCCGCGTACCGCAGCAGCGCCGGCGGCTCCGACACGAAGCGGGGTGCCAGCCGCGTCGGCGCCGCCGTCCCACCACCCGCCTGCGCCTGCGCCTGCGCCGACCCTGCTACACAGACCCACGGGCTCCAACGGACATTCCAATTATGAAATGAAAAATCTTTATTGGCCATCTAGTATATAAGAAACAGAGGAAAAAAAAAATAGTTAAAAAAAATGGTTGCCTGTAAAGTCGGTTTTACGGGCGAAGATTTTACGTGACAACGTCTTTTTCTCGGTAGAATATTTATTGATATGAATATAATTGAATTGCACAATAGGAACAAGGAATTGAATGAAAATAACAATTGCACAAATTTTAACTATAGAAATATATTTTGTTTACTAAAACATTGTACATGTAAACTTAAACTTAACACGAGAGACTCATCGTAACGTTACCGAGCGTTACACTTTTTCATAAGTGACTCCCAGCCGCAACCTAATTTAAGACGTTGTCACGTCAAAAAGAAATAGATAAAAAAGAAACTTAACCTAAGAACAAAAATGAATCACTAGATTTAAGACGGCCGATCAGGAGCTCTACTCTCTTTCTCCGAAACGAAATTTCGGTAACGAACGAATTTCAAACGAAATTTCGCCAGTGTTTCTACTCTATTTCATTTTCGAACAGGCACATTAACTTCGGAACCATAAACAGTTTTCGTTTCGAGTTCTTTTTATATCTACTTTTAAGAAAACGTTTTTTTACTTGGAAAAAATTTGCCGTAAACTACGTATATTGATACGTAGTTTACGGCAAATTTTTTGATGACATTGAAAGAACCTTCTTTGACAGTGTTAGCCGACTAATTTGTAGAGTCGATACAATCTACTGTATGTCAACCTCAATTTGTCGTTTAATACTTTGAAGTATCGAAATTACAAAAAATAATAAAAAATTGGTTTATTTGTTAATTTTACATGCTAAAAATGTTTCTCGAGCTAAGCAGCTATTATTAAAAATACTCTTGCAAGTATTTTTGGCTTAATTAAAACAAAAATCTCAAAACGAAAATGAAAAGGTAACACTTTTAATTTCGTCGATTTGAGGTTAAAATTTCGCACAATTATCTGTCAAATTCAACTTTTCCTTCGAAAGTTTTGTGAATTAGTACATGTGAGTAGGGTTGGAGAATTTAATTGTCAAAATATTTCGGACGAACGAATTTTCGAAATGAAAAGAAAACAGAGTAGGGAACGTGCGAAATTTCGATCGAAATTTCGTTTTTCGTTAAAATAGAGTAGGCCTCCAGGACCCTGCCTCAGCTTATGCTGATACAATGAGAAAATATTCTCTCACTGTATCAACGCTGGTATTCTGGCAGGGCCCGAGCGAGGACGTGTTAGGCGCTATAACAAACAAAATAACAGGTATATTTGGTGTCGATTCTGGCGCGACTCTCCGAACCCAAAACCAAAAGAATTACGAAAAACAAAGCATTATTTTTTTACAACAGAACTGCGTATTTATAGGATGTATACCTGAAGCACAATGTCAGTGTTCTTACCCAACTTAATATGATGAATTCTCAATTCAGAATGAGGGATTTCTGGAATAACGGACACCAGGTGACAGCATTGAGAAGAAAAATCTTCTCATCTGTCATATAACATATGTCGTCGTAGTTAATGGATCAATATCAATACTTAAATCTAAAGAAAATATAACTAGAAAAAATTCCACGCGGACCAGGCAGCAGACGAGACTCGAACCCGCACCCTTCGCAATCCGGGCGAATGCACTGACCAATTATGCTACCGCGGCCCTCACGGACCGCGTCGAAATTCTTTCTAGCTATTCTTAAGCTGCAAGGCAGCGCCATCTCTTCGCATTATAGGTAAACCCACAATGTCAAATGAATACTTTTACAAGTATTAAACATTTGAAAGAAGAAATAGCAATTATAGTTATAATTTTTATTATTTTTAAAGCATGTAACTGCTTGATGTTTAAATCTAAAGAAATTTTTTCTAGTTATATTTTCTTTAGATTTAAACATCAAGCAGTTACATGCTTTAAAAATAATAAAAATTATAAATATCAATACTTGTTCGATTAATTCGCGCCAAAAACTTCATACAGAAGAACTCATGTCTCGGTGGCACCATCCCATGACTTAAATTTTCCTAAATATCCCTAGTAACAGAGTTAAATGCTAACTTATTTGTCTTTTCTTTACTAACTTGGCCATGAATTATTTTAAATAAGCAGTTGTAATGACAAAATTGTATAACAAAGTAAATAATGAAAGATTTGAGAATATTTACTACTGGTAAGATTAAAAGTGGACGTGCAAGATTTCTTACAAATCAATAAGCAAAATAAACAATTTCAATTTATTACTTTTTAATACATTAAAGACTTATAAATTGCTACTATACCTACAGAAAGAAAATACGTAGAATATTTATTGCGAAAGCACATTGTGAGATTAAGGACTTTCTATACGATACCTACAGAATATAAAAACTTTTTATTATTATACAAAAAAAAAAACAAATAAATATTTTTATAGATGTTTATTCTTTTAACGACAGTAACCTCCGCAGCGTTAACTACAGAGACAACAAACAGCAAACTTTTCGGTGTTCATTATGAACTTTTCTTCTATGAAAATCCTGAATGTGTCCGGCGTTGTTTGAGCCAGTGCGAGCGCCCGCAAACAGCGAACAAGTTTAAGCCACTTAGAACTCTAACTAAACAAGTGGACTTTTAAAATCGTTTGACCCAAAAGGCGGGGGCGGCGTGTGTCGTCGCCTCGCGGCTTACGATTCCGGCGAAATTGTCCTCAAACGTGTAATTCAGCGGAGTTTGTCGGCAGTTGTTTGTCGACGCAAGTTTCCGTGATACTTAACAATTAACTCCGCAGGGAGAGAATGCACGGTTCTCGGTCTCTAATCAAGCGCGCTCCTCGCACACTTACCCTCTTTGTTGTTAACCGGCAAGCGTAATGCCTGCTACACATGTAACGATTTATCGTAACGATAAAACTGTGCAGATCGATTTGGGCAGATTTATCGAACGTGTGTATGACAAATCGTTGTCGATTATCGTTCGTCGGTGGCAGTTGCAATTTATATTAGATAAATCGTTATCGATTGCGTTTGCACAGTTTTATCGTCGCGTGTGGATGGCGATCGCTGATTTCGGCAGTAGGTACTTCACGGAGCTCGCAAGTGTGCGCACATGCGGCTGGCTCTTAAATGGCAACATGTCGGAAGAAGAAAGAGAAGGATTATCATGATCGCAACAAAAAAAAATGCCTATAACAGGCTTGTCGAAAAATACAAAGCCATCGAACCAAATGCCAATCAATAATCTTAGAAGTACCTATAATAAATAACTCAAAAAAATTTCAAGTGCGTCATAATCTTCCATCGTGGATGACATGTTTCTTGCGTGAGCTTCTGCGGAGAACAAACAATTGACGCCGATATCGAAGGCGTGTGGAGTCACTAGGAACGTTCGATTTATCTGCACAGTTTGAAATCGCTACGATATATCGTTACGTGTGTACTGACCATAAGGCCGTATACAGAAAGAAAGCCGGAAGCCGATCGGCGCTTATCATCGATCCTTACTACATAAAGGAAGCCGATTAAAGCAGATGAAGCGAAATGTCGGACTCATCGGACGATGATTTGGTTTTGTTAGAAAATGTGTATTTAAAAATGCGAAAAAAGCTATACATTCTATAAATAGAGAAAGGCAACGTTTCGGAGAATACCATCATTTATTTGTAAAAAAATTGAAATTTGATGATCAAAGATTTTATACATAATACAAGAATGACTCAAGAAACGTTTTATTACATTTTGGATTCAGTGAAAAATCGTATGATGAAAAATTGGTGCAATTGGCATAAACAACCAATTCTTCCAGAAGAAAGACTTGTTGTCACCATTGGGTAAGTTTGAAACAAATAATTTTAGCGCTTTGTTAATAAAAGATAAAGTTTTTAGATTTATAAAAAGATTATAACTTAGATTGATTTAATGTGAGGATAATAATTCAAATACAAATTATTTATTATTCATACAACATAGATCATAATGACCAGCTGACCAGCGCTTATCGGCCCTTATCGGCGCTGATCGGCGCTGATCGGCGCTTTCGGCTTTCTTTCTGTATACAGCCTAATTCGGAAATTCCCCCCCCCCCCCTCGTCTCCTACCAAGAGAATTACCGTCGGCAACTTGATGAAATGAAATTATTACAATACTTTACCTGGCTTTAATCCCCTGGCTGCCATCTCCCATTGTGTTTGAATCAATCTACGAAATTAAATGTGAAGAAAAGGCTTTATTCGTAATGGGGAATTTCGGGCTCTACGATAAAGACCTCCATTATTGTGTTCAAAACATCATATTTTCCTTATCTACTATGAAATATTACAGTAAGTAATTTAAGATACATTAAACTGATGAAGAGCATAATAGTAATGGGAATTCTAGCACTCATTATTTAACAGATTTTTTTTATAAATCATATTAAATTTGATTATGATCTACAGTTAGGTAGGTACTTACGTGCCAGGAGCAGCCAAGAGGCCACAAGCCACATACTATCTGCGGACAAACAGACAAGTCACTTTATATATATATCATATTAAATACTATATCTAAGATATATGATTTTGAATTTTATTCTATGTAAAATTGTTGTTACAAAATAGAAGGTTTTTGGAAAAGTATAATTTAATCATAATCATAATCAAAATCATTTATTCAGTTTAGGCTGTTACAAGCACATATGAATGTCTAGAAGCTACGCCATCGGTTCGTAAATCTACGGCGGGAGACCTTGTACTGAGAAGAACCGGCAAGAAACTCAGCAAGGGCTGTTTTTTTCTCCCTGTTTTATTATTTACAGAGTCGTCAAATTGAAAAATGACTTCAGAGGTGATTCATGAAGTCACTTTTCATTACATAATTATTAAATATACATTAATTGTTTACCTGCATTTTGATTGCTGTGTCATACAGTATAAATACAAATAGTGTTATTTATATTCAGTGTGACTAAACATTAACTTCAATATTAAGGAAGTTAGGGCAGACTCATCTCCGCTGGCAGCACCCGTTCACGAGCATGACGCATGAACCAGCCATCGCTTCGCTCAACCATATTTTAGGGAACGTAACGACCCGCCTCACACGACACCGCCGAAGAGACTATTATGAGAGCATGACTACCCATAACTACCCATACTAACTACAACATATTTACTTAAAAAGGTCATTTACCTGTAAGACACAACAAACAATTACAAAACAAAGCAAAGGAGAAATCACGACCACGCCGTTTTGTCAATCAAATATTCTTAAACAGTCTGATAATCTTACTTAAGTTATTAACTTTATATACAGCTTTCAGTTTAATTATAGTATTGTCAACACATAAATAGTATTGTCAACACATAAATCATATAGAAATACCCGTCGGAATGGTTGGAACAGTTCATACCCAAGCATTTTTGTCTGTAATATAATCAGACACTTTATAATATGCTTTCTTAACTAGTGATTTTTTAATGGTCGATTTAAATTTAGTCATGCTTAACTCTTGAATATTGCTTGGAACTTTATTGTAAAAGCGAACACTAAGACCTCTAAACGAATTATTGATTTTGTGGAGCCTAGTAGCAGGGAAAGTTAAGTTATTTTTATTTCTAGTATTATATGTATGTATTTCACTATTTTTAGTAAACAAATTAATATTTTTTTTACAAATACTAAGTTGTCATATATGTATTGTGATGCAACTGTCAATATACCTATTTCTTTAAACTTATCTCTTAATGAATCCTTAACTTTAAGATTATAAATTGATCGAATAGCCCTCTTCTGCAGCACAAATATAGTTTGAATGTCGGCGGCATTTCCCCACAGTAAAATACCGTAAGACATTACACTATGAAAATAACTAAAGTAGAGTAATCTGGCAGTTTCTATATCCGTTAACTGCCGTATTTTCATTACAGCATATGCTGCAGAACTAAGTCTCTTCGACAATCCATCAATATGTGGGCCCCACTGCAGCTTAGAATCTAGTGTGATTCCTAAGAACACTGTGGTATCTACAGAGCTCATATGTCGATCCTTTATATTTACATTAGTTTTTACCTGTTTCACATTAGGTAATACAAATTTCAAACACTTAGTTTTCCCTTCATTTAGCATCAAATTATTAACATTGAACCAGTGGACTACCTTCGAAATAGACCTGTTCACGTCATCAATTTGTGACTCCCTACGTTTAATTTTAAACAAAAGTGAAGTGTCATCCGCAAACAATACTATTTCGTGGTTATCCTTTACAAAATAGGGCAAGTCATTGATATAAATTAAAAATAAGAAAGGACCAAGGATTGAGCCCTGAGGAACTCCCATCTTAACCGACGAACCAGGAGATTTTACTCCATTGATGTCAACCCTCTGAACCCTATCACTCAAATAAGATACAATAAGATCCAGAGTGGTATCTCTAAATCCATAGTGGTGAAGTTTCCTGATCAATGTTTCATGAAAAACGCAATCAAAAGCCTTTGATAAGTCACAAAATACACCTAATGCATCTTGCGAGTTCTCCCAGGCATCAAAAATTTGCTGTACAAGCTCAACACCGGCATCGGTTGTTGAGCGACCCCTTGTGAAACCAAATTGTTTACTATGAAGAATGTTATTACTTTAAAAATATGATTGCATTTGATCTAGCATAATTTTTTCAAAAATCTTACTAAAGGTGGGTAACACGGATATAGGTCTAAAGTTTGTGGGGTCAGATGTGCTACCCGATTTATGTAATGGAGTTATTTTACTGAGTTTCATTAGATCAGGAAAAACACCACAGTCAACACATTGATTAAAAATGCTAGCCAAAATAGGAGCTATTGTCTCAATTACTGATCCAGAAACATCCACGGAGTTACCCCACAGATCCGCAGTTTTCTTTTTATTTAATTGGTTGAAATATTTTATTACATCTTTACAGTTAACATACTTAAATTTAAATTGACTAGTATATTGTTTTGTGTGTTCTTTTAATATTGATTCAGCAGCAATGGGGGACGAGTTCAAAGATTTTGTAGTTGAAACTGGAATATCAGTGAAAAAGTTCTCAAATGCTGTAGCAACTTCAACATCTGATGTAACATTTCTATGTTCAATGTTTAAATTAAAACTAGTATTTCGAGTTTTAGATTTTCCATTTTCATTATTTATAATGTTCCAAGTCATTTTGATTTTGTCATTACTATTCTTAATCTTACTACTTAAATAATTTGATTTTGCTGTACGACATACTTTTTTAAATAACTTTGAATAATTACGTACGTACTCTTTGAAACTTTCACTAGTATTAATGCTGCGTTCATTGTAAAGTTCATAAAGTTTCCTTCTACTTTTATGTATGCCTGGGGTGGCCCACTCGCTGAAAGTTACTGCATCACTAACACATATGGTTTTGGGAACAAAGACATCATTAAATTCTTTACAAAAATTATTAAAAAAATCATTATACATATCATTTGGACTACTTTTATACTTTAAATAACTCAAACTCCTATCTAATTGAATTTTAAAACGCTCTATACGGTTAACAGATTTTGGCACAATAGTAATATATTTCTTGGTGATATTTTTATTTGGATGTGGAAAAGTAATCATCTGGCCACAATGATCACTATCCAGTTGATTAACAATTACTTTTGAATGTGGTATTATATCCGTATAAATATTGTCAATACAAGTGGCCGAAGTGGCAGTTATTCTAGTAGGCTCCATGAACAAGTTTTCAAGATTATATGATTGAAATAGATTTCTTAATTTAATACTCAAATTAGAGGTTTCTAATAGATTAATATTAAAGTCACCACAAACAATTAATCGTTTACCAGTGTTGACAATTTTTTCTAAAGCTTCATCCATAATAGTTTCAAAACAACAAACAATTTGGTACGTGAATTATTGTCCACTTCCTTTATCTCGTGGGGTTCTTATGACCTTCAGGCCAATCAGCTAACGGGATTGCTATGGTTATCGCTATTGCTTACGATTTCATTTTGTTATTTCTGACCGCCGAAGATTTTCAAATGCCCGCTCTTTTTATCTTTTTGAAGTGACACTATTTATCGGCGTTGGAAAAAAATTTACCGTCACATTTTTTCGGTTACGCGTCACATTTTTCCGTTACGCGCCATCTTTTTTTATATTAATAGTTGATAGCTGAATGATCACACTGCCGCCGGCGAGAACTCTCTCTACTCGTTTGTAGCTGAGTGACATTAGTTATTAAAGATAAGACTCGCTCAGCCAAACTCGCATAGCGATACTCGCTCAGCGATACTCGCTCAGCGATTCTCGCTCAGCGATACTCGCTCAGCGATACTAGCTCAGCGATACTCGCTCGGTTAAGCTGGCTTGGCTGTCAAAAGCCGTGCGCGTGCATTTTAACTCAGGACTGCCAATTCGTTTCTAGTTTCTACTCGCTTATCGTTCATCGTCGGAGGTGGAACATGTGCCTTAGATTACTGAGCCGTGTAATCATAACAGTTTCATAGGCAGTAATTTGTATTCATGTCTATGATAATATAATCCTTTTGTTTAAACTTTATCTAATTTAACTTTATTTAACCAATTTCTGGAAAGTTGCATGTAGATCATTTTTTGAAAAATAAGGCCATAAAGAAGTTTCACTTCTTACGTGTGTACACTAGTACACGCACACATTTTTTTTCTTCTGTACTGCTAACAACAATATTAAAGAAAATGAGCGTAGGATATTATAACAATACATACAGCATCAAAGAATCAGAATCTGTGTTTGCAGAATTAATCCACTTAAAAGGCCAGTTTTACTGGAAAAAATAAGATAAGACAACATAATAACACGTTATTGCACAACAGTAACATAAAGAACACAAATAAAACAAGGCAAAACAATTACAGTTGCACAAAAGGCGGTCTTATCGCTAATCAGCGATTTATTCCAGACAACCCAATGAGCTGAAAAAATAAATAAGGGGGGTTGTGCGGAATACAAGACAAAAGTTTTGTAAATAGTAAGTTGAAAATAAATTAAAATAAATGCAAACTTAACATATAGGCATACACAAACATTCACACATCTTATATTTATAAAAAACTCAAAGGTGACTGACTGACACAGTGATCTATCAACGCACAGCCCAAACCACTGGACGGTTCGGGCTGAAATTTGGGATGCAGGTAGATGTTATGACGTAGGCATCCGCTAAGAAAGGATTTTGATCAACACTACCCCCAAGGGGATAAAATAGGGAATGAAAGTTTGTATGAAACTTTGTCAATTTTAAACCGATCGGACTGAGACTTTGCATGCAGGTACAAGAAGAATCATAGATGAATGCCATTGTGTATAATACAAGCCTGAGAACAAAAACTGTAGTCTACACTTCAGCTCTACACCGAAGCGAAGCGAGGGCGGGCCGCTAGTTTCACAATATAATGCAACAGCCAGTATTACTAGAATACTTTCGCCGTTTCTTAAGTGGAGTAAACACGAAAAACATCTTTTCGACACCACGTCGTA